CTATGATGAATTCACTGTAATTCGTCGACTTCTTGAAAGTTGTATAAAGGCTGTGAAATGTTAGAGATATGTGATATATATAGAAAATCCTTTGGAACCAGTTCTTAAGGATTTATTCATTGCTAACTTGGAAAGAACTACACTGACTGTAGCTATTAGTCAAAATACAATGTACTACAGGTACGTTGATGACAAGTTTGTTGTATGTAGTGACATGACTCATGTAATAACATTGTTAAAAATATCTAATAAAACCCATTTGAATATTAATTTTACAGTGAAACATCACATAAATAATAAACTTGATGTTTTGGACTCGAAACCTCAACAAAGAAGAGAAGGGTCACGTCAAAGATCTGTTAACTTAAAAGAAACCCGGATTGGATTTTGTCTTCATTTTAACAGTTCCTTTCAGAGGGGTTGTAAGCGAGGATTAGCTAAAACACTATTTCACATGACTAGGAAAATTTCTTTAACAGATAAACTGAGTGACCAAATTTAGTTCATGGATAGACGTTTGGAAGAAAATGGTCACCCAAAGCGATTTATAAATGCAGACAAAACAAAAACAGTAGAAACGACGGCGTTCAGTAATCTGGAGAAGAAACCAATGTTATTTCACTTGACATTAAAGCGGGAATGAACTCATGAAAAGGGTTACTGAGAATAAAAAGAATCATACTAGAAGAAGTCTCCAGAAGCTAAATTAGTATCTGCGTGCAAAACAAATTGCTTACAGCAATAATTGAAATTCCACAAGTTTACTATCATGTCAGCTTAATTCACACATGCATGCCAGAGTACCTATATTAGAAGGACAAAGAGGTAGGACGAGACTCAATTTCGTGGACACTGCAAATAATTTAGGCCTAAAGGGGCGGCCGCTCAAAAATTTCCATTAATAAGCATTGATTGGACGCAGCACCTTACATCTAGATATGGAATCCATACAAAATAATTAAAAAGCAAAACAAGCAAAGCTGCCCAGATTAACAAAAATATGAGAAGATATGGCACAGAAGTGATAAGAATCTGCGAAACCGGATGGAATGGAAGTAGACTCTCCAAACTCTCAACTAAAGAGTCAGTAATCTACTCCGACATTGTCACACAGACAACAACCACAAGCACAGCACACTGAGTTTTCCAGTGGTTATCATGATGTCCCCAACACCATCGAAGGCTCTCTTCATGCAGTGGGAACAAATCTCCTCCTCCAGCATCTGGATCATGACAGCGAGATGGATTCAACTCGAAAGGAAGGAAAGTCACAATCATACAATGCTACACTACACACCTACAAGTAAAGCAGATGAAGAGAAGCAGGAGAAATTCCACAGACAACTGCAATCAGCACTGGACAAGACCCCACTCCAGTTGGCGACATCAAATTCTAATGGGGTGGTGACATGAATGTCAGACTGGGAGAGGACAACACAGGAAGAGAACCGATCATGCGTCGAGAAGCACTTGGTGAAATGATGAATGAGAATGGAGAACTGATTGCAGACGTTTGCACATTTCATGATTAGGTGATTGGAGGTGAGGCAGTGTGTACAAACACAAGTATATTTACAGAGCGACATCGATTTGATTTCACTAGACACCACACCAGGACACGCACACTATGCCAAAAATCACATCGACTCCATCTCAATGTGAAGAAAGTGGAGATGGAGACGCAGCCTACTAGACATAAGATCAGATGAGGAAGGTGAGCAGATGTAGGTTAACACCACTCACACCACTCACACCACTGTCAAGTAAAAGGACCTGCCTTCAAAATCAAGTTGAAGGCTAAATCAATGAGGTTGGTGATGATGGGCCACACACAGTTGGAGTTCAACACGCAGAACAGAAAGTGAAGTGAAGGACGATACTACAAAGGATATCTTCACGTCAGCCAGTCATGAGGACAAAGTGGGAGACATTGAGCAACATCGGTGAAGGAAGCTGAGTGGAAGAACAGGTGAACTGTTTGAAAGAGATGTGGAAGGGAACCTGCATAACCGTGTTGGGAAGGAAGAAGAAGCGAGACAAGACAGGGAATGGATGTCGACGTAGACATGGAAGCTGATAGAGGGGGAAGAGGAAGAGAAAGATGGTGGTGGTGGTGGTGGCGGTGGTGATGGTTACGATGGAGCAGAAGATGAACCAGTGGAGTGAAGTGGAGTGCAGTGGAGTGCAGTGCATTGTAGGGATGAAGAAGGAGAAGAGGAAGTGAGTGCAAAGTATGAAACAATACACTGGACAAAGAAGTGAAGAAGAGTGCGTCCAACGACAAAAGACACTTCTGCAACACATTGGCAAGTGAAGCAGAACAGGCTGCTGGTAGGAGAGACAGAGACCCAACAACATTGTATGAAATAACCAGGTTACCATCTGGAAGGGAAGAGATCAACTCAGATGAATGCAATGAAAGATAGTGAAGGGAAGCTGGGTGTAAAGTGGAGAAACAAAGGAAACGATGGACTGACCACTTCAAAAAACTCCTCAATCGACCAGCTCCACCACCACCACCACCACTTATGCAAATCGTTCAAAAATACCAACAGCAGCCCATCCACAGAACTGCTAGAGAACACATGCCTTTTGACAAGAGCAATAGTGAAGTGCTGAGAGCCGGGAATGCAGCACAACAGGATGGAGTTCTACCAGAAGCACTGAAAACAGACTCAGAGAGAACAGTGTACATGCTCACACCACTGTTGCAGAAGGTTTGGAGGGAAAGAAAGAAAGGTACCTGTCGACTGATCTGAAGAAGGCTACCTTGTCAAACTCCCAAAGTAAGGTGATCTAAGCCATTGCAAGTGCTGGTGAGGAATCATGCTTCTTCCCCAGTCCACCTCAAGCTAAATATTAAGCCGTATCACCCTGGAGAGAGTAAACAGAAAAAATGCTCTGTATTCTGAATTACAACCGGAGCAGGCTGGTTGGCTGCCTTCAGGAAGAACAAATCATATGCGGATCAAATTGCAAAGCTACACTGTGCATCATCATAGAACATAGTGTAGAATGTCAGTCAACTCTCTACCTACCTCAACTTCACCGATTTGAAAAAGGCCTTCAACAGCGTCGACCGAGAACTAATTTTACAACTGCTTCAACACTACAGTTTCAGTGCCACAAACCTTATCAACCTCATTCAACATGCCAAGTGATTCACAATGGAAAGCTGAGTGACACCTTTGACGTTTGGACAGGAGTAAGACAAGGCTGCCACCTACTGTCGCGGATGATCTTGCTGATTGTGGTCGACTGAACTTGGCTGTATCATGCAACAAACAACTGTGAGGAGCTGTGAGGGGATGGGGATTCGCTGGCTGGACCGATGCAAAGACCACAGAATATCTGGATTTCACCGCCGATGATGATGACTTATGTGTGGTGTCTTGTAGCAGCAGAAGCTCGAAGATCTACAGCCAGAAACTGAGAATTAGGCAGAAGAGGTGAGGCAGCGAAGGAAGACGGGACTTCAAGTGAATGTGGAGAAGACAGAGGTGATGAAGGTACCCAACCAACAACAGCATCGCCAACAAGCACCAATCACGATGAACGGGAGAGACCTAAAGGAAGTTGTCTCCCTTACCTAGCTAGGTAGTATCGTTTCAACTACAGACGGCCACGGCACAGATGATGACGTCAAATCCAGGATTGCAGAGACAGCAGGACAGGCCTTCTCGCAATAATCTGAAACACTCAGTGAGAAGATCTACTGCACTGCACTGTACTGCACTACACTCAGCATGAGGCGTGAACAAGATCCGGATTTTCTACACTAATTCAGTCAAGTCAGTCAGTGCTTCTGTGTGATGGATGAGAGACTTGGCGCGTTACTAAAACATTTCCAACGATCTACAGACATCGTCAACAGCTGCCGCCTACGCTCACTCGATACTGACACTGAAGATCAGGTGAATTGCCAGAATAATAAGAATATGCAACAAGTAATTCACTCTGGCTAGCCAACGAACCAACCAAGAATCCATCACCCAACAAATATGCAGAAGGAAGTGGAGATGGATTGAATTGGGCATACACTGAGGATACCGTTTGGCGACATCACTCACCAGGCCATCGAGTGGAATCCAAGGGGGAGACGATGAGTTGAGCATCCTAGGTTGACGACATTGAGGAGATCATGTGAGAAGGAAATGAAAGCTGGTGTGCAGTGGTGGAGTGAAGTTGAAAAGAGTGCAGATAACAGAGTGCAGTGGAGACGTGCTACTGAAGCCCTGTGTTCCGCTAGAAACCCAAGGGACAAGTAATAATAATTAGAGTAATAAGAATTTATTTCATTCGAACTTTCCCAATATATTTCGACTCCGTCACTATCTTTCATCAACGCAATATCCATTTTTGGATAACTAAGTTCTATAAACTGAAAATCTCTATTTATATATTGTATTTTTTCAAAACCTATGCCCATCCGGAGAGAAAGGCAACAAAATATAATGCATTCAATAAATCCTGGAAAATATGTTGTCCTTTCTTGGCTGAAAATTGGTGAAGGGAGCCCGAAAAAGCATCCAATATCAACTGATGTTAAACTTTCAGCATTAAAACTTCAGTGTGCAATAAACTGTTGCGCATCTAAGTCAAAGTAGATTCACTATTTCTAATTGCATAATAATTTTTCTAAACGAAGCTTCAGTAAATTAGATATTTTGTCGTTAAACCTTGGATACATTGGACCACACTTTATCTTCAACCTGAAAAATACTGTAGGTTAAAGAAGGGTGTTTTAAATTTTTTTCACTGAAGGCACTAACGCTAAATAGAAATTCACTTAAATATTTTACTGTTTTTGATATTTGATGCATGAGTTATAAGACAAAGTCGCTTTAACTAACCTTAACAATCCACAGTATGTGTATCTCTTAAGATAACTGAATATTTTTTACTTTTAGGAGCGATTGTTCAAACTTATGCTTACTTACCCTAAGAATTAACTTTTAACCAAACATTTAACCAGTTTCTTTTAAATTTTCATCTTAAAGGTGGACAATCCTCAACAAATAATTCTAGATCACCAACGGCAATCAACCTTCCAAATCAATATAATCAATTTAATAAAGTTACACCATCGTCCTCGTACACGGATGCTCTCAATCTAGCTGTTGCTGCCAACGCAGCATTGTGTGAAGCATTTCACCAATCCATACGTAAGTATCAGTTATTGCAAGTTTCAATTCACAATCTTGGTGTCAAACCAATTCGTGACGTTATTGTAAAACTTAAATTTTTACAAATTTCACTATTCAAGCTCACAAAGAATTTCCGGTCAAAATACTGAGATTAGAAAATGTATATACTCATACATATTATTAACTTATCACCAAACACCCAATGCATGTAAAACCACCTAGTCAAACCTTAGTAATAATTTAAGTGCTAACCATGAATAATAAACATTTTTATTGATTCATAGATAATAATTGGAGAGATTATGATAAAGAATGCCTTACGCGACGGCGAAAATCAAATGAAAGTTATCTAGTGACCAATTCGAATACATATATCTTGAAAACATTTTCTGAAAGGATCATACCCCATAGACCAAATCATTATACAATAAAACTTCCCAATCACTTTTATATTTGTTTTCTCTCAATCACTTTGCCACTCCACAGAGTCAGGACGTGTGTGTGTGTACTGCCAGTTTCCAAAATATGTTTACAGCAAATGTTGTCAGCTGGCTAGATGCATGTCATTTTAAAACGACACTTTCTAAGTTGTTATCTTCCTATGTAGTGTATTCTGTGCTGAGGATAAAAGTGTGTTCACTAAACAATGAGGCCAAATTTTATTGTCAATTAACAGTTTTGAACAACCTGGATCTTACTTATCGCCTGTTGTTTTCTAAAACATACGGTTATTAAACTCTCCACTAAACTGGCTGTAAATTTCAGAGAACAGATGTAAATCCCAATAGAAATGATGCTAGTACGGGAAACCTTGTTAAACTTCAGACGATGAAACATACACATCTAGCAATACAGAAAATAAGAGACAGTCCAGCGAAGATTTAGTCTGTCGACTACATCATTTTCTACATTTGTAAAATCGTATGTATATACATTACAACGTATAGCAGTCTCTTTTTAAACAATAGGGTATAAGTGCATAGTTAGAGCAGTGCTAAAAACTGAAATTTATCAGAATGAATGATTTCTTTTGATGTGGTTTCGCTATTTACCAATATCCCTCCCACGGAAAACATCTGATTTGTATGTGATTTCACCGAAGATAATACTTTTCATATGGGTATCCCAAAGCATTATTTAGAAGGATAACTTTCATCGTAAAGTCCAAACTGAACAACGAGCCATACAGAAAAAGGGATGGGGCTGCTATGGTATCATCGCTTGAATCACTGCTGATCGCGTTATGGTAAACCTAGAGAATAGTGTGCTGATAGTTTTTACCTATATAAAAGATGTGTGGATAATATGTTCATCATATGTGACCAAAATACAGATATTGGCACTGTAGTTAAAACGTTTATTGATTGTCAAACATCGGTCAACTCCACATCAGAATTTGAAGAGAACTTGGAGTTCCATTTTCTCGATGTCTTAATGAAACGCAAACTAGATAACTCTCTCCAGAGATCGATTCGTAGAAAACCTACATGGAATGGATAATACTTGAATTTCTATAGCTGGGTACCTATCAGCAGTAAAAGGAAGTTGATTTGTTTTTTATCACCAAGAACCAGAAGAATCTGCACAAGTAGTACTATCAACAATCAACTGAACAAGCTCATACAAAGTGAATACCCATTCAAATTCACTGACAGGAACTTGAAAATAAAACGCAATATAAAGCAGGTACTCACAGTTCTAAAAAAGACTTTGTTAATGAACTTTGGTTAGAAAGGTGACATGGTAGCAAAACTCCTGAAGAATCGCCTGCCCAAACCGCTCAAAAGGACATTCTTCTCCGCAAAGCTATAGATCAGCCTCACTGGTCATCAACTGGTCCCAAGGTGTTAGAGACAAGTTTCCTTTTTAGACCAACTCATTGTGTCTAAAGATGTACTTGCTTCTGTGGAGCTAGTTATTTAGGCCGCATAAATCAAGCACTTTCCAAACTTAGCAATATTCTGCGTGATTGCTGAGGAGAGAATACAAATCAATTCATAGTTCGATTTTTGAACACAGTCAACTTGGGACAGATAGCTCTATTGGAGTGTTCCTTCGGTGCCATTTATAAAGTTAGAGGGAACAGTTCAAATGGAGTACGCTGTTGACAACTGTCCAGCAGAAACACTGGAAATTCACAAATTCGACCGATCTTTGTGTGCAGAAGAACAATGTCCATTCTTTATCTTACCATGGCCTTAGTGACTGCAATTTTCCGAGCTCACCATAATTAGTTAGTTTTCTGTTATCACCTTTATCATGACGTTTGTTTCTTTTTTCACCTTCTTGATATCTATCAGATAGACAGTTAACCCTTGTATTTCACACCTACCAACAGTATTCACCCTTTGAAACAAACTCCTTACCTTTCTCACTATTTCCATCGCCGAAAAGATTATTGCGCAGCTACTTTCCATCCGAGACTTTGGTTTTAGCACTAGTTTAAAAATGCAATTATACCTTATTGCTTATTGATAAACTGTTGTATGTTTGTGATTTATATACATACGATTGTACAGCTGTAGAAAATGATATAGTCGAATAACTAAGTCTTCGCTGAATCAACTCTTCTTTTTCCTGTTTAACTGTTGGAGTCGTGACAACTTTTCAACTGTTTTTCACGCTGCTTTCATATACATCTAGATAATTACACAAGTCTTAGCCCTTATCTTACATTCTGCCTTTTTTAGTTCAATCAACTTAAGAGAAAATAATTCTCATCATTCGTCGGCTAACTTCAATTTCATTTCTAATTCACCTCATTGGTGTTGATTTTATGCACGAATACTTGAAGTTCATAAACATGTAGACTATAGTTGTTACCAATGTCCTGAGAAATTTCTGATTTAATCAATTTAAGAGTATGTTTTTATACAATCCTAACCCGTTTAGAAAATGAAAATGACTAGTCTGATTCTCATTTCAAAGTAATCTATATTAATGCCAGCTATATACATCCTGTCTTGCATATGTCAGCATATGTATTTGCATTCTATAAGACTAACCATCCTAGCTACTGCTATAGTTTTTTCAAAGCAGTTGAAACCGTGTGCATTCACTCTGCATTGATAAACGTTTAAAAAAGAAATTTAAAATCTATGTGAATAAAAAATGTTTTTCTGTCAACATACAACTTGTTACTGTGCCGTATGAATCTAAAGAACTAAGTTTCTATCATTGTAAAATTAACATACATTGTAAAACAAGATAAAAGTGATTAGTTGAATGCGAATGTTCAACATTTAATCAGTTAGATTACAGTAATGTGAAATACATTTTCAGAAGTCATTGTGAAATCTGAAAAAACTTGTATGAAATATTTCAAAGTAAAGAAAGTTGACTGTCATTGCAACATTCTATGCATTATCAACGAAATTTACCTAAGAAAATCGTCTAGAATAGCAAAAACAAGTAGCTTTAATCTGCTACTTATCTACACGTTCATTAAATATGCAGGTAGCTTTCTGATAGGTTAAATGAAATTTTTAATCAAATTTTAAATGTGAAATCATAGAAAATATTATTTAGGAAGCTTTTAAAACCAGAGAAATTTGAAAATTTATAAGGTAAATTCATTTTTTTCATGAATAATTTTCTATTCGACTGCAACGGGAGTCATTCAGCTGCCGTTGCACTGTGTAAGTTTACATCTAAATTTTATATTCTTTCAATTTAAGCTATAAATGTCTATTATTTGTTTGTTTGACATTTATGTATTTTGACGTTCATTTTTAAGAAATATAATCCTGCTAATTCGAATCTAAAACTCAACAATTTTAGATAAACATTAACGTCAAAAACTGGCTTTTCTTTTCAAAAAAATATTTACTAGAGCCTATAAATGAATTGTAGCATGAAGTATTGATGCATTCTGAAGGAACAAAGATTAAAATGTAGCTTCCCTTTTGCGATCCTTAAGACTTATTTAACCTATGAAGCAATCATAGGTTAAATACCTCTGGGAAAAGAACTAAAAAGTCAAATAGGAAATTCTATACAGAGCTATTTACAAAAGAAGGATTGCAAGTAAATTTCAGTGACTAAGTAACTACCTAAACTCATGATGATATATTAGAAAAATATTCGCCTCATTAAACATAATTGTAGAACTTCAGCATATGGAATTTGACTATTTGATTTGGCACAGTGATGTAGTAATATTTATCAGACAACATATTCACTTCAAATTATTGCTCGTAATCATACATCTTTAAACATCTTATTTCAATATTCTGTCACTTCATGTCCTTTGTTTTTATTGATGGTGAAACGTTTCCACATTTCTGGTACAGGTACTGCACCATTCTTATTGCCCATGTTGGGAGTTCATTTGATGAACAACTATTTCGTAATCGATCTCTTCCCCCACCTAGGTTTATTGAACTGGATTAGAGTCGTTTCATCCCACTCCGTTACATGGTTGTGTTTGAGTACTTAGATTGTGATAGCTGAGTCCCTCTCTAGATTATTGATTTTAGCAGAGGTCTGTCATTCTTGAATTTAGTTAGATTCTTAAGCTTCGATAATCTAACAAATATAAAATATTACCTCAAGACTGACATTTATTCGGCACCCCTGAACTGTAAGCTACAAAGTGTCTGGGCAGCTTTTACATCCATATACAATATAATCGTATGCTAATTTATCAAGGTAACACTTCCATTCAGATTATGAAAATGGATATGAGACGAATGCTGAAATGAAACAAATTTTTTAGCACTTATAACATATACATTCAGATTTTTGGCCCGTAATGAAATTATTCACACTTCACTTTACTCTTTAGTAAAAACGTTTTCTCAACAATCACTTCCATATTCATACGATAGGCAATCAATTACATCTTATGAGGGCTTACGGTATTACCTCGAAACCCAGGATGCGTTGATATGCGATGCGCAAACCGGAGACCCATTATTTACAATCTGAATGCCACTATTTCCTCCAGTGCATGCATAAAGAAAACATTCTGCACAACAAACTTTTTAGTTAGTAAGAATGTTAAATTATCTTCATGGAATCACTAGCTCAATTTTCATTACCACTTTACACGGGAATAGTCTGCTCATCAAGAAACGAATCGATGGATTACAAATATATAGATGATGCGACTTTGTCTGCCACTTGCGAAGGCAAACTGAAGAGCTATGCAACATTACACTACCTTAGTTTGAAACTTATTCGTCAGCATTCTCAATTTTATACTGGACTCGGTTTAGAACCATCAAGATTAGTAGTAATTGACTTTCCATTCAACTAAGGTATTCATTTTCTAACGTTAATCAGACAGTTATCTAGCATCATCTTAATTAAGACAAACGAAGTAAACTTTGACTGTAAATGTCAATCAGGTGTTAATAGCTTCCATTTTAATTCAGTATGCACTTATATTCTTGAATTCACACCTGGTTTTGTGTGTCCATCACTGTTAGGTAATAGGGAAAATATTATACCATGGATAACTGTACACAGTAACTAAAAGCCCTATTCTATACCAATCGTAACAGTGTCAGTAATTGGTAGTGTGAAGATATAATCAGCAAGGATGAATATAGGGTTCATTATTCCCTGCATTTTAAGTTAAAAGTTATTATCAGAAAGTGTGAATTAAAAACGAAACAGACATTTCTACCCAGGAGACAACCAAATGTTACCGACATTTTAATCTATAAGTTCGTTTTGATGATGACAGAACGGTGTAAAATTTTATGAACACAAAAAAAGGTGTATCTGTGCAATTCAAAAGCTACAATCCAAGTCCATAGACAGAAAATTGTAGTCTATTTTGCATTTTAATCATTTCTTGCTTTGAAAAGAAAGGTATTCTGGAAACCTTTTAATAAACAAAATTGTGCTTCACTAACATTAGAGTAAAACTTGGGCAATTGAGTAGATTTACCTTGCTAGTAATCGCCAACAAGTACCAAATCTAAATTCACAGCACTCTGAAAATGAACTCCTAAGGCGTATCACATTCTTGCAGAGTAAGTTTTGATGTCCTATAGATAAGCTTAATGCAAATTTCAATTTCTTACAGAGTTTCGCTAAACTAGTCAATTCGTTTCTATGGTTAATGAATAAGTGAACAATTTTGGTAAGAACAGGGGCTAACATCCATACTTTCGGCTTCAATTGAATTCACTGAATTAGAAATATACTCCACTGAACAGTCAGATGGCATATATTTTTTCTATCAACTGATTTTACCAATAGAGTCGTAGTTACATTCAAAACTGTCTTATGATTACTATGAGACTGCAGATGGACAAGCCTGTTCAATGATGAAAAATTTGACACATTTTAATATGAATTTAAAGCTTATATAGTAGCTCTATAAGGTACCTTCTTAAATATAGATTTGTTATATAAATTAATAATATATCCGCTTTTTCTGTATTTTTCTACAGCTTCAACGGATTCCTGTCAAAGAACCAACTTAAGTAATCAAAATATATCTTTGTAAGTCCACAAAATTGACACACCTGTTTTTATTTTTGTAGTTGAGTGGCATTTTAAATCACAAAGAATTCATCTCTTTTACTACTTTTCTGCTTACGAGTAAACTCGTAAAATTTCAATCAAAATATTAGAAGTCAGGGAAAACTAAGTAATTTACATGTATAATCATCGAAGCAAAATGATTGTTTTTTGTCGGAAAGTACTGTAGTGAGTGTTAGTGATAAGAATGTATATAAGTATTATATGTTGAGAGACTGGCAGAGATCATAGGCAATTATCAGTAGTGGGTAAGTACTCTGCCCAGAAGAACGCAAGAGACAATGCAGGCGTAATAACAACAATTCGAGATAGAAGCAGAGTAGGAAATGGAACACATTATGCAAATGACTATTTTAATGGAAACTGTACAGTTTTGTCAGTTCTGTACAGGATGTCATAACAAACAATTTGTCCTGAGTCTCAGTCTATCGTCTCCTACAGTACCACTTTTTGAAATCTCCAGAGTACACAAGTTAACTTCACTGAAATTATTCACTTTGGCTGAATATCACCCTTGCATAAATTCAGTAGACAATAAGTATTGCATTTATTTTAATAGAGGATAGAAAAGAAGACACACTCTTCTGTTTTCAGTCATCATTTTTTTCTAAAAATTTAGTAAATTGATTTTGCTGCATATTTTTACTTGTGTACCCACATTAAACTGAACATAACGCCCACTCCTAATAGAACGACGAAGAATAATTACTCATGAGTTAATCTTTGATGCTCTGATGGGAAGCCATAACATTTTTGGTTAACCAATTTAACTGCAAGTACTTAACTTACTGCTGAGAGATGCGAGTATTGCTTGCTACATAACATGCAGGTGAAAGGGCAGAACACTTGTGTCACTGAATGTTATCTCAACAGCTGTACAAAGATGCATATGATGTGAAACCTTGTACTACTGAGTTTGCTTCAGTATCAATTCGGTACAGCTAACTACTTGGCAGGCTGGAACTAGAACAGAGGATTTATTCAGTGCCTCATAAATCTTAATACTTCTTTTGTTAATCCTGATCCATGGTGAAAACTGCTTTGAAGTTGATCAGTTCGTGACAAATATCCTAATGCAACGAGTAGACTGATTTATTTTAGACAGGCATATACCTATGTTAAAACAAGTTTTTCAATATCTTTTGAATTATCGAATGACCAATATTTACAAAAGGTAGGATGAATAAGAAACATTTTCAAAATGAGGACAGTAATTTCTTGCTAACTATTGGCGGATAGGAGAACACAAAGTTCTCCTGGTTTTAATTTAAATGCTACCAAATTCCGGTATTATTATTTGAATAAAGTAGCAAACAGAAAATAAAAGAGGATATCTAGATGCATAAGCCTCATTTTGAAATCATTCCTGGTTTGCGTGAATGGTATGCTACAATGATTGATCCTGGAAGTATCCGTAATAAGCATAACTTTAATTCTTTGATAAATCAGACTTCATTTAGACTTCCAACAGTTTAGTAGGTAACTATTCTGATTTGAAAGCAGGAATATCCAGGTTCTTACTCAGTTTGCAACATGACAGACGTAAGTGGTGTTAAAACTTTGAAAGGCATAGAGAATTTTTCAACTTCAGAAAGGAAGACAGATTTTACACAAACACCATTTAACCAAATGCCTATATCCAGTTGATAGCTGTGGGTACTGATTCGTCTCAACGTAGTACTCATCACTGAGTGGCATCAATTGAATGATCAAGGAATTGAATATCAATCCAATGCTCACTAGTCTCTTGTTTCAACTCCAATTTCCCTAAGTTTCACAGACAAGTCCTGACTTGTAAGGTCAACCAAGTTAGAAATGAGGTGATCAGCCACCAATAGCATTGGCTGACCATAGCAATATATTATGAATTTATAAAAATTATCAGACCATTAGACTCTAATCCATTGCCCGAATTTCGACGCGCTCTTCATGAGACCTCACAATCCTGGGTTTGACCCCCTATCTAATGGTGAATGCGTGCTACTGAGGGTTCTCAAATAAAGATGAAATAGCTGTCTGGTCCTAGTAGGTTTTCAACGGTTCTGTTTTACTCTCTGATGAATGCTACTTTAAAAATACCTATCTAGTGAACTGTTATGTAAAGTGAGATAACCATCTGACAATGGATAACAAATCCCAAACTTGCAGATAAAATTCAAATTTATACATATATAAAAGGTCTAGAAATCCTAAAATCTTTGAGGAAGTTTACATTCGTATAATCAGATGTTCTGTCCTCTTAAATAAATAAAGTGTTCTGCCTTCTTGGTAAAAGAAATGTTAGTCGTGATGAGGAACAATGAATCATCAAACAACTAACATGAAAATATCACACGACGAAGATGAACCTCGAATGTTAATCAGGCGACAACATGAATAGCTTTTAATTCGACTCCCAACTGTTCTGTGTATAACTGACTGGTTTTGGTTTCAGGACAAAGATGTTATCATGGTCTTAATAGCTATAAGTGATTGCTATCCGGGTACTGAATTTTGATAAATATTACGTTTATGAGCCATTTCTAGATCAATTTGACTGGAAAGCAACTAAATTCTAGCAAATATTTGTCTTATGAAGAAACTTTTGACCAATATTCTGTCATCCCTTCATTTTACAGCAAGTGATAGATTATTTTTTGTTTTTTCTTCCCACTGACCAAGTTTTATTAATCATTACAAGCACACAAGTTTATACATACATAAGTGAAGAAGAGAAACCATCTCTGTCTTATCTAAAAGTTACAAGTTATTTACTTTCACGCTGCTGGTCGTTAAATAACAAAAATCCCAATCTTTTAAATGATTTCTGGCTCTGTTACTTGATATGATACGTAAGATATCGTTTATCATCCTAACTTTGTGCACAACTTCGAAACGTTTTGAATGAACATTTTGTTTATGTGAATGTGTATGTGCATGATCTATCAACCTTTGTCTACGTGTCTAAAATCTAGAACAAGGACAAAAGTTGACTTGTTGATTCAAGTGATGATAAAATCGACACTGTATTTGGTGGAACCGATGACATTTATTAAAATGGTTCCTTACTAACACGATAGCGCATATCAACTAGGTACTAGTGAAACTGTAGCTTTTTGTTTAGCCTTCATACTCTGTCGATGATCATAAGAGTTATGAAACTTTGCGATTAGCCACAGGAAAACATAGACAGAAAAAAAGACATTCAAGAATAGAAGAAACAAATCACAGTCTGATCCGAACTTGTTCTTGCAGTATAATTTGACCATTGAGTTGGGCGACTCATCACTATAGTACACTACATTTAGCATTATATATATATATATATATATATATATATATATATATATATATATATATATATATATATGAATGTCTAAGCACTTTCAACCCACGTCTAGAGCTTCCTGTCGATTACTTCCAAGCAACTAACATCTGTCAAAGTGCCCAGCAATGGTCAGTTTCCAAGACATGTTACCACACTATAAAATGGTCAATAGAATTCGGTCAGCACTAAGGACCAAATAACATAAAACTACTCAGTGATCAATCAATGTACTTGTCGCCTAGTTTTCATGGAACTATTAAAGAAATAATTCAAGAGTTTCCTGGAAAATCACATCCAGCAGGATATCTAAAACCTTATCTTTTGGTCCGCATTCACACAAATATGCGGCTGACTGAAGCTCAGAACCTAGATGAAGTTTCACTCCACTCGATGTAACAGGTGCGCCTTGCTAACGAGTTTCCACAAGCACGAGTGCTAGGTGCACAGTTTCCCCTAACCTCCTTTAAACAACTAACATGAACCAAAACCTTCACCACAATGGTCAGTCTTGTAGCTTGGTGACCACAATGCAAAGTGATCGATAGAATTTAATCAGCGCCTAAGACTGGATAAAATGAAAGTGGTTGATATTCAGTGACCATACATCGCACATAATAGTGAAATTTTAGCTCTGAAGTAGATAATATTTTCTTAGTACTTCTTTTGATAAGAATAAACTATGAGGACCAGGTTAAACATTTATCACAGAACTGTTTAGTGGAACTAAGGAAAACAAAGTTCGAATTTGTTATGAATAAATGTAGATAGTTGTCAGACGATAATGAACCTGGATTTTCTGTATTTTTGGTCTTCATTTTGTGTAACACCAAAAATAATTTACTGAGATATGAAGTTACTCAGCCTAGTACAGCAAAACTTAGTCACCAGCCTTCATTGAGCTCAATTAGTGAGAAGCTTTATGCAGAATTTAGTGATAAAACAGCTTGTTGGGACCTAGTTATTCTGTAGGATCAAATAACATAGTTGAACAGTCAAACCGATTATAGCCGAAAACACACTAGTCACAGCATTAGGAAAGAATTTAGTTGGAAATACTGAATTTTTGGACAGAAATCTTTGTTTACAGTCATATGAAAAGTGAAACCATTTTTATGATCTTAATCTAATTTATGATGAAATTTCCAAAATACCTACCACAATTCCAAAATAATTTATGCTGTTTGGACTGAAATGGCAAAAGTCTCGTGATGATGCGATCCCTTTCCAGTTCTATTCATATTTATTTTGCATGGTATTTTATTTTGTGCCTACTGCTAGCTAAGTCTTTATACAGACATGTTCATATCATTTCAGTGACTTCATGACATCTGAACTCTGTGTATTGGTGATAATTAATAAACACAAATATTTTGTAACGAATTTCCGTACTACGACATATTAGGCAGTATTTTTTTTATTTCTAATCAGTTACTTTCATCTGTTTAGATGCCGCATGAAAGATAAAAATGTCTAAGTTACAGAGTTCTTCAATTTATTTAGCGTAACGTCAGCGTCTTTCTACCCGTCTCTGAAGCCACTCTTCCTCCGTGACAAGTCTATCATTAATGATGTTTACTTTGCAAATATATGATATTATGCATACGCATAGATAAATCATGAATTATTGTAAATAAATACATATTGGTTACTACTCACCCTACTTTTTTTAACTTTAGACTTGATTTGCAGTAACTAGGTAGTAAATTTCTCATGCTTTCTAACACTTTGAGGCAACATGATATCATCTATGTACCGGTATTTGTTTACTATCCAATTAGTATCTACTCAAACAACTGGTTGAGTAATATGACCGAGTGTGTTATGAAGAGATTTGCGTTCATGTCCCACATGTAGTACCATCGACGCATGTAAGAAGGGAAGCTGTGTTTAAACGTTCTCATGTAAATTATACTCTCGTAACTGAATTATTTTAGCAGTAATAAACTATCATAATGATTTTAAAGTAACCTATTTTATTCCAAATAAGGCTGAAGGTTCAGTGCGGCCTTTATATTCACCACATACGTGATTGCGAAACACTTAGTTGTAAGTACACAGTAATCGGTTTGCAGATCACAACCAGAACTGATCCTTTAAAACTTTTATTTACACTCCATTCATTTATTACTGGCATAAAACAAACTTACTGAGCAATCAGTGGTCTTTAAAATTAAATTCATCATTACCTACTACAAAAATGAACATTCTAAACCGTAGAGTTTGTGTGCTTTATGTGATTAGACTCATCTTTTCTGGTATAAGAAGTAACAACAACATTATAATGCTGACGATAAACAAAGCTGTTTAAAATGATACATTCTCATTGGTGTGTTTCAAACACACTTGAATAAATTAATTAGTCCAAGTCTGTTAGTTATCTCAGTACTTCTAAAATTACTACAGTAGCTTCATCAGTCTTTGAATCGTTTCTTAAAGGTGTTCAGCGTTTCCTCGTACGTGATCAAAGCAAATTTTGATATTTTCCAAGAATATATCCTGGGGATATAAATGTTTTTAAAACTAGATTTTTTCAAAATGAGAAGGCACTTTTTGAAGATTAACAGCAGCGCTCATATAACATGACAAAACGTAACACTCAACAGTCAGCTTAATATTAGGAACCAATGTAAACTACTTTCTCCTAAGCACTGAAATATCTGAAGAAACCATTTTTACTTTCTCATGAAATAAACCCGCATGAAACATTTAACTGCTATAAGCTTGCATTTATTTAGCGTACGTCCTCCAGTCTTCCTGTAGGACAGTTTGAAAAGCTTTAGATTTCTGAAAATTGTGTTTACAAACTGTTCCCCGTAAACGATTTCTGCAATAATCTGTCATATTTACCAGTTTAAGTATATTCTGCATCCTTAAAAGTTTCATTTGTGTTTTCTATATCTTTTAAAGGAAACCACGAAAATTCAAAACGCATCCATCCACAATCCAACCGGAATGTGTAATTGCTAGTGAACAGTCTTCGACTGAATTAAGTTTAACACCAAATGAGATAGGGCAAACAGAAAATAAGAACAAGCCTTGGGAGTGGGCTAAAATCACTAGACCATGCAAGAATATTTCCCTTTCAACTATTTCATCAAGTGTTCAGTCTGGCCAAGATGATAAGTCAGATGCGAATAAATCTAAAAATCTAACAGTTGAACAAATATTTAATGCAAATTCTAAGCGTGAAAGTCCCAAATTACTGGTCAATGAGAAGAAATCCAATGAAGTAACAGACACAAATGTAGAAACCAGACGTGCACCAGGTCGTCTTCGATCGAATCTTCGTCATGCTGTAACACTAAGTCCTTGCCGTCGTAAACCAGATTTACACTCAGAGCAATGGAATAGTCCATATTTAGAACCTGGACCATTAGCCTTAAGTTCAGGTTTTGTATCAGCCGGTTCAATTGTGAATGCAGTTGAAGATTCAAATGGTCAGATGAATAAAGAAGACTTTGCAGAATCTTCATCCAAAGTGAAATCTATCCCACCACCGGTTTGCGTTCAGGTAAGTAAATCCCTGCAAATTTTCTTTGTATTTAAACATGAGTTTTGAAAATTTCAGTCATTTTAAAAACAAACTCAGATCACCAGAAAGCTAAATATTTTATTTGTTAAATAAAATGCATTCATATGTTAAGAGCGACCGCAATAATTCCTACCAGTTTATTGACACTATTTGACAAAGTTTTCAACAAACACCTCAGAAAAGATTCGTCTTAGATACTTAATAATTTATCTAACCAACACAAAAAATATCTCTGACCATAACAACACAGGATAAACTGAAGAGACAACTGATGTTGAACTGTGAAATACAAAAACGATAAAGAACACAATCTATAGAAAAATTGCCAATCCAGCAAGCTTTCTCGACTACTACTGAATGTAAAAGAAGGTTAATGCAGAGTATGGGAAAAAATGCCTAGGTTGACAACATATTTTAATGATTAGAGAAGAATAAACATTTTGTTTAAAATGTTAATAAGAAATCATTCCGAGCAATTCATAAAAGATAATTTCAAGAAAAAGCAAACGTAGAGAACATAAATTGAAGCCGATAAGAGAGACCAGTGTAAAGAAATCCCAGAAGAGTAAGTGATCAAACTCGAATCTCATTAAAAATAAACTAAACTAACTGAAATGTCTTATAAAGAAACTGGACGAAAACGATATCATATATATAAATATATTATGCTGAGTTCGTGGCTAACTATTTAGGTCAAACGTCGACAACATTCAAAAGTACACTGGATGAGCTTTGACGCTCGACTAGCAGTCAGCTCAGAGGGACAGAAGAGCATAAAGATTTGGAAACAGTCCATTGATATCAGCTAATGCACGGGACGAAAAACAATGTTATTTGGGATAATGTTAGCATTTTAAAGTATGAGCAAATGGAATAAAACACCAATAATTAATCCATATCTATATATGTCACAACAAAGGTGACTCAATGAGATTGTCTACGATATGAAAACTGTGCTGCATACAAACTAACAAAGGTACGAGTGAAAATCCTATATATATGGTATATAATAATAATAATCACTATCCTAAACAATATGTGTGATACAGTATAGAATTTCCAGCATGTAATTTTTCAACAAATTCATTCCCAGAACAATATTTTCAGATGAAATTGTTGTTACATCTGAATACTGTTAATAATAACAGCACTCAAGGCAACAATGTGAAACAGCAAGCTGGTTTCGAATAAGCGTTCAATCTACAGTGAAGAATCAACAGAAACGCAAGCGTTAGTACGGTGGTAGTGGTGGTTAATTCAGCCAATACAAGAATCTGGGACTCAAGCTAAGTATCCGAGGAATAGAAAAATAAGGTACTTTTGCAAACTGAAACGTCCATATAACGTGGCAGTTTTTCTTAGTTTTGTTATTAACTCGAGACAGGGAGAATTGAAAACATTTAAAAAGTGTGCAAGACTTAATGATACGTTTAGAGGACATATTTAGATGATCAAAACAAACTGAAAAGAAAAAAATATGGTAGCTTAATGTTCAAGCAGACCACTATGTGAATGTGTCAACAAATAATTCCAAATAATCATGTGGAGTTATTTGTTGGAAATATTACCAAAATTAAGTCACCTGTCACCACGTACAAATGTTCATTACAAATAAATTTATTCAATGTGCAGGTTTGTAAAGGTTTACTCATTGATTTAAGGTTGTTATTCATCATGTGATGAAGTCAGTTAGAGAAACATTGGAAACTTCGGAGCACTGGATACGCCTAGTTTGAGAATCCTCAGCAGTTTGCACCTATGATCCCGCCAGGTATCGAACCAAAGAGCTTCAGGCTCCGTGACCATCACGTTACCATTGAGCCGCTTGGTCGGAATCCACTTGCGCATATTTCTTACCTCTGTCAGTTCAAGATATAGCGTGACTTCCATCCAATGTCGTCACTGAGTAACTGTCCATATGTTCGACTTGATTGACCCCACCGGTCACAATATCTCATTGGAACCCCCGGAATCGCCTTTCGAAGCTAGTCACTAATGAGCATTAGCTTAGTTCAGTTTGCAGGTCTGCGGTAGAAGTAGGAAATATAAGCCATCGGATTCCTACCCAGTGGCTCAATGGTAACATGCTGGTTTCGGAACTTGAAGGCCATAGGTTCTATCATGGGTCGTGAGTGCGCACTGCTGAGCAACGCCATACTAGGAAGAAACAGCTGTCTAGTGTACTCAGGTTTCCAATGTTTCTCCAACTGGTGTCGGTCCATGAAGAATACTGACATGAAGTATACTCGTAATTAATTGATTCTCTCTAAAATGCACAAGTTTCTCATGGATATAATTCAAAGTAGTGGGTTCAGTCACATCTTCACAGACTGCTGACAATAACGTAAATCCTTTCGTTACACTCATTTTTAAGTAGTGCTAAATATCTCACCTATCAATGAACAGTTAAGAGAGAGGAATTATTAAAAAAATTAATTAACGTCTATTACAAGCTTAGTATGATTAATTCAAATAGTTTCTTAAATAAATATGCCAACAAAAATATTCTAACACTATAAGTGTAAATATACGTTCATACTCGGTAGCTTGTTGATTCAGGAAACTTTTATTTCTGATATTATTTAGCTGCATTACTCTTTTCAACCTGCTCAATATCATATGAGGTAATATGCTTCGAAACCAGAAGTTATTTCTAGCGTCGTATATACCGTCATACAGAGTGTGAATGGTATGAATTCTGCTGAAAAATGGACCACTGAAAAGCGACTATAGTATTTTGAAAAACCATGTGATTCACTTTCTTTTATGTGCCCACTTATATGTTCTGAATGACTCGCATATGTCTCTTATTTTACATTAATTTGGGTATAAGGATTAAATTGATTACCTGACATCTGAGACATAAAATTCAACCTACGAATGTCACTTAACAAAATAGATTATTTATACAAGAAAATGGAATAGATTCAGATCCATCAGAAATTTCTAGTCATATTTCAGGAAGAAGCCTTGTATGCGTTCTCCCCGAATGAATACATTTACTGAAGTCTAAATGTTATTTTAGGTGACTTAAATACACTTTACTCAGCACTGATATTGTACTTATTTGCAATCAGTTATTTTATGTCCTGCAGAAGTTAGATCAAATGAATCGTATAAAAACTCAAATATATTTTCATTCTGAAACAGTTTAGTGTGAAGCATAAACCATGGCTGATTTGTTGATACACGAATGAAATTTCCTGTAGAATGTCCAATAGGGTCTACTTGATGGTTCACAGTCCCTACGATTTGCAAGTCCCACTGAAGATGGTGGCTGAAATATTATTAAAAGTTTCATTTTATGGAATGAGGTCACGAGGGCACTTTAACCGCCAAAATTAACCATTAACAAGTTACTTACAAACTACCGTCCAGTGGTGCACAGCATTTGTTACCATATCCACTTGTTATATGACCCTGCTGTGTCAACGTAGAAAACGAATGGTTTTAAGAAGAATCAGTAACAGTATACTGGTGACATATTAGTTTCCTAACTTCAAGTTAACCCCTTGCAATGAAAACTGGTTTGTATTGATTGGTCACGGGAGTGCAACCAATTTCACGTTGTCTAGTCCTGAGTGCAGACCGAATCCTATCGATCATATTTGCAATATAGCAACCAAACTAGGAAGCTCAGCATCGCGGTGCACATTAGTAGATGTTAGTTGGTTGGAGGCAGTCGGCAGATCGGTAGAGTCAAGAGTTCTTTTAAGTATTCTGAAAGTATTCAATTTAAGCTCGTCAACAGCCAATAAACATAACTATAAAATATTCCAGTAGCTGATGATGTATGTTCTTTTCAGCTCAGCAAGTACCCAGTGAATTGATCCATGAAAGTGAACAGCTTCCTTACAGAAGATTTTAAGATGAATTCGAATCTATCTTCAACATTAAAAAAATACCATAACATACATCTTATCGGTAAGATTTGAGCCTGCGCAATTTAAAATGCTTACTTTGATAAAATGAAAATAATGCTGCTTTGCATAAGAACATGATTTCTTTCTATTCAGTCAATACCAGTCTCTTTTATGTTTTGTCATAAATGTCTAGCGGTAAACGCATATGGGACTGGTTAAGTTGACATGAATTCTAATTCACTCCAACTACATCTGTCTGGTAGTAGTTTATTTTACAGCAAAAAAATTAACAAGTGACATTAATGTTAACTTGAAAATTTATTATTCGGCATGTAATTCTATCAGATGACAAACTGTCTGATATTAAAAATTTCATATTAAAATAACAGCGGTGAATTGTAATACATACAACCATTATTAATAAAGTCGAAAGGAAGAAGTTATCTTTCGTGGTATTTGAAACAATCAGTTTCTAAGCCGCCGATACGATACTCTACAAAATTTGACACCAAACTACACTTTGATGTAGTAGAAAATATTTTTATTGCAAGAGGATCATTTCAGTGGTATTATTTCATCCAACAGAACACTTATTACAAATTTCTTCGTAGCCAAAGTTTATTCCACTTTCGTAGATCATTTCGAAATAACCAAGGATGTTTTGTTTAGAATAGAATCATATCACGAGTTTTACTTCATCAACTACATACAGCCTAAAATTACAGTGGTTAACAAGACAAAATCATATGACCACACTATAATCTATGGGATGTTACTACATAAAGTAATTCGAAATTGAAAAATTCAAGGTATCAAAAAAGTCCGAAATTATAATCTGAAACGCTTAGTCTCCTTTATGAATTTACGTAATGTAGTCAGAAGACAAAGTTTACCTGAACAACGTGATTTGTTTGCGTAATAAATTTTAAACAACCTGATCACATATTTACTTATCAAGTCAATTTATATAAAACCGAAGGATGGGAGGATAAATGGAACAATTAAGATAACTATATTATTATTGTTTTTCCCTTGGGTTCATAGTGGAGCATAGGGCTTCAGTAGCAAGTCTCCATTGCACCCTGTTCTCTGCAGTCTTTTCAACCTCGCTCCACT